GTTCATGCTGTCATTCTTTCCCAATGTATGGTGGTGAACTATGGTGGCAATGTGCTGTCCTAACTGGACTAGCCCAGATCTGTTGTAAAACCTTTTTTGTACACCCGCTCATCAACTGTGACAGTGAAGTAGTGAATTTCATTTATTTCAGTTATTTTCAGACTTTTTTTATTTTACCTAAATGGATACAGTGGTAATGTGTTTTGTTTATAAATCACTAATAAAGTTTTCTTTCTTAAAAAGAAATGTGAATTTATTGTCTTGGGGAATTTATGTGTGTTTTGGCCTTTTTCTTTAATTTGAAGAAATGTATTAAAATCTAATCAGTTATTTATTACAAATCAACTGACTGCCCAAAATGAGTAAAAATGCAGAATATGGTGGAATTTACATATTAGCTTTGTTGAGTACACAGTTAATCTGTATTTTTTAAATAATCTGTAATGAATAAGACTGTTTTTAATTAAAGGACAGCCTTATGTAATGAAAACCTTAATTAAAAATCTGTATCAGAATTTGTAGTTATTTTACAGGGCCCTTTATCTCAGGAGAGTGAAAAAAGGGTCAGTGTAACACTGCAGAAGAGTGGGAAAGAAAGAATCAGTAAGCGAGAGAAAGAGTACATCTCCTTACATCTGAGAGGGCAGGACTGATAACCTATCCACAGTCTGCTCTCCTCTATCACACATACTTGCACTCAACTTATTTCTCTGCACTGAAAAGCACTCATATGAAAGACACAGGCAGAATGATGTGCCCAGCACTAATGCCTCATTTGTCCTTGTTGGTCACAGATGGTCCAAACAGTCCCTTGTGAAAGGAAGCTTCCAGAAGCAATGTAATTTAATAGAGTGGCTAAGTAGATTTATTATATCCCAGTGGGTGAATTTTTAGAAAAAAATATCACAATAGAGACACATCAGTCATGCTGGCCTAGATAGAATGCAGCATTGATAATCAATAATTTTATTCAGTCAGCTACTCAGGCAGCCAGCTCAATAGTTTCCTAAACTGACATTTAGAGCTTTAGCAACTGCAACAGATTTCCAATTTTTTATTTAATTTGTTTAGAATAAACAAAATTTCAGATTTAGTCAAGGTTGAGAGTTACATAGACATGTTTGTGCATTCTTGTGTCTCTGTAGTGATTCTGCTCTTGAAATATATAAAGTTAATGAAGTCTCCCTCTCTCCAGTTTCAGCTTTCATCTGGCAGTGAGAAAGGTTCAAGAGTTCAAGTATTAAAAAAGAAAAACTGCTTGCGAAAATGCTACATCCCATTCTCTTCAGGGGACAGACAAAAATGGTCTCTATGGTTACAGCTATTTTGGGAACAGTCGCTATGGCAACAGCCTTATATACTTGGCTAACACAGGAGGGTTGAAACAGTGGGGTGCCCAGGATGAGATCAAGGTGTGTGTGTGTGTGTGTGTGTGTGTGTGTGTGTGTGTGTGTCTGTCATATGTCACAGACAGCAGATGAGTATGGCTGCTGACTGGATGATGCGACACCACACACAGTGTATCAGACTCCTCACTGACATTTCACTGTTAAGAACAGCAGATCCATGGAAGAACAACACTTTAATAAAGACCATTAACACCCACACATTTAAAATGCCTACAATTACATATTCCCATGAGCATTCACAAAATGTGCTTTGGTCTTTCTGAAATTTGGCTTGTTTGAGTTATACAAACAAATTAACAAACAAGCAAACTGGCTCAATGTGCAGAAAAGGAGCCTGCAGCGTTTGGTCTGCAGAACAGTGAATCTCTGGCTAATGAATATGGATATATATTATGGCAGAGTGAACAGAGCCATGCAAGCAGAGCAGTGCTCACTCTCTTTAAAAGCTGCGCAGTCCAGAGAAGATGTAAATGTAAATCAGTTTAAACACAACATAAACATAGACCACATTGTACAGTGCACAAGTGTACCTTCATTTATGCAATGTGGATTGCATTAACTAAGAGAGGAAGGTAAAATAGTAAAATATAAATAACTTAAATGGTCTAATAATGTGAATGGTGTCTTTAAACGCATGATAAAACATATTAAGCATATGCCAAATCAGGGTTCACTGGAACTGAAGTGTGCATGTGTTTGTCTTAGTGGGTGTGTTGGCTGGTGATGTTGCCAGCTGCAGTGACTCAGCACAACCATCATCCTGCTGAGGAAGGCGAATTGAAAGACTTGGAAGAAGCCACGATGAAGATGGAGAGATTAATGTGCACAGCAATTATGGCCTGTGGCAATAACAGCACTGCACATTACACTGTAGAGACATAGTGAGCGTGCGGAAGTGCAAAGGAGTTAATTAAACAAGGACAGACAGTAGGTTGAGAATTAAGTAAATCTGTTTCAACCTGTCATGAATCCTGTAAATGATCTTAATTGGCCTACTGGTAGCCTCAATAGAAATGAATAAGTGATGGAGTTTGCATTCAGTGAAACATTATTTTTAAATAAAAACTGTGTTGAAGTTTCTTCCATTTTGAATAATTTCATCAAAAAACAAAAGCAAAATATGCCCAGAATTTTTTTTATAAAAAGCTTGAGATAAAAAAAAAAAAAAGCCAATGAAATAATACGTTTTCATTTTGTGAGATTTAACCCCAAACTCAGTTCAGTTTATTTGGAGAAGGCACAAGGCTAAATAATAAATACTCATGGTTAAAACATTTTTAAATCTATCTATCTATCTATCTATCTATCTATCTATTTTAAAAAGATATAAGCTGTAACGAGACTGCGGGAGGAACTGGTAATTAAAAGCTACACATTAAATAGGTACTCGCGCACCTGCCTAGATGGTTTTCTATATGCAGACTGTTACCGCAAACCTTTTGCATTAAGTGTGACTTAATTTGGGTTATAGAAAGCGAGAACAGATGTGCATTAACAATAGCCTAACTGTTGTCCAAATGTATAATCTCTGCCTGCAGACGCCTAAAACACTAAACTATTGCGGTCACAATGCAGAGGTCATTTGATAGGCTAGTGTGCCAATGGCATGTGCGAGTGTAACAGAATTAGACTTCGCCCACCATGATGCAGCGCGTGTATGACATATGTCTTCGGTCCCTACCTGAAGCGCTTCATCATTTTCACCTAAATCTAACAGTTTATTGGACGTAGATGTTTGTGGGTTTACAATGTCAGGGAAACTGTGACCACATGTTATTAAACGTTACTATTTGAAAATACTACACGATGGCAGCACTTCAACGTTTACATTCACTCCCATCTGCAGCACTTGTTCTATGTGCAGGAGTGCTGAGCAGTAGGCGCCATCTCCTGGTCAAAGTATCACAGCACGTTTGGAGTCCGCAGTGGTAGTGGTACAACTGACCAGTTAGAAAAGTTTTTTATGAAAAGACTAGTTGACAAATCCTTTTTGAACTTTCACTCAGTTGATAATCAGAATTACTTACAAAAGAAAGTGTGAGTTAGACTTTCAATGTATGCTTATTTTTGTATTATTATTTGAGGCTTTCCCAAACTGTCATTCATTTTAAAATCATAATATTGAGTATAATTTCCTAAGAGATTACATTTCATTGATGTTTGAATTCAGCTCACAGATGATTTTAATTGGAGATCTTGGAAAATATATAGGCATTTAAAGTTCAGTCAGTGAATTAGAAGATTAAAGATTCCTTAAGAGATGTTGTTTTCCCTGCTTCTTCTCTCCATCTGCCAGTAAACAACCTGTATGCATCCATACAATGTGACTTACAAATATGTAAGAACAACAACAGAAAAACTAAACAAAACATATTGCAGTATCAGATCAAAATAAACCCAATGTTTGTAATATTGCACTGTTGGTGTAAAACACAGAATATTTACAAAATAACAGGCAATCAGTTAACCTTAAAATTTTGCTCCCAGGCAGCTTAAGAAAGGTTGGTTGCACATACTTGTTCTTACTGTAAAAACAGCCTTTAGCTCAGTTCTGGTACTGAGTTCCACGATAAGTAAAGATACAAATACCTAAGATTACATTTTTTCAACAAGGGTTTTTGCAGAAAAAGAAAACAGCATTTACTCTAGATAGATAAGGTCAGCTAACTATATTATAAAAACTTTGGTTCTGGCTGTTAATTATCTTCAGTAATGGACAATGACCTGAATCCCTCTACCTAGAATGCAAACAGCAGCACCCCCAAAAAACTCAGAGAAAGAAACACTTCCCATAAAAACCATATTCCAATATATTTGATATTTGAATTTTGTCACCCCTTCAGCATTAAACTGGGTTGTTCAGGAGATAAGTAAATTGTTGTCTGAGTCTGAAAATTACTGTGGGTTATTTGCTTTAAGTATTAATTGTAAGTAAGAGTGCCTTACAGTGCATAAAAGGACAATGATAGGTTCATTTTTCAGTGGTTTAATGAATCGCATCAGAAGTAGAATAAACTAGTCTTGTCCACATGAAGATAAAGTTGGCATTCACACATGGAAGAGACATTAGCTGACATTTTATAGAAGTTATGAGGCTATAGCTACATGGGAACTGTGCAAGTCTCTGAATTCTGCACAATACAGCCCTGCAAATGTTTCACAATATAAGCCATTTAGGAAATGAAGGAATTCTGTCTACTCAAATACTTGAGAGCGTTTAATGTGAAACAGGTACAGGAAGTATGGAGTTGTAAAAATGAAAAACAAGCTAAACGGGAACAGATCAGAACAATCGAGGTATCTTCATATTACAATATGACCAAATATTGAGGGAATTAGAAATAAAGGCCTGTCACTAATATAAGCCTGCTTTCAATAAAGGCCCTCTGTAGTTGAGGTAAACAAAGGTGCTGGTACTATTATACAAATTACGGTATTATTTTAAATGTTTAATAGAAATCCTACATAATGTGGCACACCTAATGGGAATGAGAATGTGGCACTTGGTAAACTAAATATTTAAACAGATATTTAAATATTTGAATATTTATATTCAATCCCGTGTTGCCGGAAGTATTTAAGGTTGCGCTCTGGTCCGTCGCTGTAATGAGTCCCCTTCCATGAATGATGTGTTTGCTAACAACTGTGTGGTCTTTCTTCTCACACGTGTAAAAGTTCCCGGGCAGTCTCAGCTGTTAACTTAATAACATAACATTAATCATAAATTAACGTCTTCACCATGGTAACCATTGTGAGGGTATCCGACACGGCAACCCAAGTGGCTAGTAACGGTAGAAAGTTAACGATATCTTAGTTAATAGTTAATAGTTAATAGTAAGTTTGTTAGCTTTAGTACTAAGCTAGCAAGATTAAACATACATTAACTGCTTTTTTTCTGTGTCGTTTTACATTTTAAATGTTAGCTGGTTGGATAAGTTACTGGAATCGACCATACAACCTGGTGAGTGACATTATTTTGGATTGTTTGTTGAATGTTGAATGTTTGTTTGGGCCAGATGCATGATGAATAACTTATCCCGACAGCATGGAGGAGAACAATTATTAATTAAATGTTGTCTTGTATCATGTTGGCCCATTTCCACCCACCACAAACGACTAAATGGGCACTGTTAATGGCCCATCAGTACAATTTGTCTGGGAATGTGTGTGTAAACCAAACCTGATACCAAAAAGTGAGCTGTTATTAATCTAATTTCAAATTACAATACCAGTGCAGCATGTTTTGTATTTCCTAGGTTGTTTCATATCAAGCTGCATGTGTCATCAGTAGAAAGGTACAGTATACTACACTAAATTTGACGGTGTTGTATTCTCTTCTTAGGTTTCTGTACTTCCTGAGAGAAAACCCTTGCTCGTGGATAATGCTGGAGATACCTGATAAACATCTTTCTGCTCATCGTTCAAAGCTACTGTACTGGTGAGTAAATTAAGTTGAATAATTTTTTTTTATCACAAATTTAGATTAAACATAAGCACTAATCTAATTAGATTATCCAATTGGTCAGTTATTCTCCAAATTCCAACAACAGAAACCAGTAGTCCACTGTGCCATGTTTTTCACGTACTAGAAATAAAATTGAAAGTTACCAGCAACTTGTGCAGAGAAAAAGAGAAACATTTGTGTGATTCAGTCGAGCTAATGCCCAGAGCAGAACACTGGAAAAGTCCACAGCATCAAATATTATCCCCATTAAAATTGTCTTTTGCGTGATTATGTGACGTCTTGGGGAGTACTACTGCATAAGGGAAAAAAACTTGTATAAAACAACTCCAGAGGGAGCTTCACAAAAAGCTGATGTATTGCCTCAAGTGATATCACTTGAGTCAGGCTCTTTTGGAGCATCAAGCTTTAAAATAAAAAAAAATACAGTGCTGCGTAGATAGAAAGTGAGGTTACCAGACCTCTGTAGCCAGCTTCTCATCTTGGCATGAGGCTAGTGGCTTAAAACTACATTAGCAGCTCCTTGCAGGACACGCCAGAATCTCTGACCAAAATTGTCGGTGAACAAGTTGCATTGTGGGTAATGCAGACAACAGGTTTTGACAAGGAAGAAAAATGCATGGAATAATAAAGAGAAGTCCAACAGTGTTATAGGAGTGCAATACTAATGTAAACTATGATATTATAGACTTAAGGCTGATTTGTAGCTTTATGTAGACTCTACGTCAAGCCTACGCAAGTGATCTGTGCCATTGTGAGCCTTTCTACCTTTGCCCTGCAAATAACACGGGGGTGGGGTTTCTATGCCGCTGTCTTAAGTTTTTTTGTATACTTAAAAGAATAGTGACCTAAACAGAAACTCTTCCTCGTCTCTCTCCTTAATCTATCTTGTGAGTTCCTTGTTTCCTGTTTTCCCCTTTGAAACAAGAGGACGAGGGGACAGACAAGAGGCAGTGTCCTACACTTGCCTGTTTGTCTGTGAGAATGTGTGTGTTTGAAGAGGCATTCCCATATAGCAACTTTAAGTAATTTTGGTTTTTCATGAGTCGCCTCCCTTCCTCAGACATCAGAAATCATAGTTGTAGCGGTCTCTGTCGGCGTGACGTGTAGTAACTTTTCAGAAGCACTTCTGTTGGACCTTTGCAAAGTCTTGTACCCCTCACAGATCAGTAATCCTGATGCTGCAATCATTGTTTCTAGAGACTTCAACCAGGCTAACCTTGAGAAAAATATGCCTGACTGCCTTTAACATATTTACAATGCCATATGAGGAATACATAATCTTGATCACCGTACACGCCTGATTCAAAAACGGTTAGAGGAAGAGGAATTGCTGCTTGTGTATTGTTGGAGACAAAATGATCTCAACAGAAAAACACTTTTTTGTAGATCAAGCCCTGCCAAGCCATGTGATCATCCTGTTCCCTCTGTCCATGGTTCTGAAATAACTAGTGCAACTGGAAACTTCTCTTTCCTTTTGAGTCACATTTTCTGAATTTCTGACATGGTTACTACTACTAATAATAAAAATGATAATATGAGTAGTGTTTTTATTGTCATCTTAATCTAATAAGAACTTCAAGTGAGATGCATATAAGCATACGTTTGCAGACTTTTATAATAAATAAGTTTTCCAAATAAGAGACCACATACATTTTGTGTTACACATTATAATTTTGATTTGATTTAATCAATAGATGTATCATTGTGAATCATGTATAGATGAGTCATGATGTCAAAACATGGATTTTGAAACCAGTCTTGTCAACATTAATTTGGCAGTCACAGTGGCTGTATTTATTATCTATATTATCTATGTATATATTGCATACTATTTCTTCTTCTATCTTGAACTTGGATTAGATTATTATTAGTGTTTGTGTGTACCTGCAGGGATGGAAAGTAATTAACAATAGCTCATTCTGGTACAAAGCTGCTCTTTTTTTATTTTGTTTTTGTACATGGTCCCTGGCAAATAAATCTAATAAACTAAACTTCTGTCATTATTGCAGTGATATAAATAATGGTTCTGGTCTGTACTCAATAAGGGGTGTCTGTAGTTACGCATGGTGCTGAAAGGTGCATTTCAACCGTGCTTTATCAGTACAAACCTAATAATGAATTTGTCTTTTTTAATCAGCACTTATTTGTGTTATAGATGAATACTCATATCACCATTAGAACTGATATTGTTGTTGCCACATATTACATGTGGCTCAAAGTGAAAGTGGGTGAAGATGAGGCAGATTTAGTCTTTGTCGAGAGTGTTGCATCGACTCATGGTGCCGCTGTAGGCCAGCACAAAGGATCACAGACATCCCCACCCACTGCTACTGCATTCAAATCGGTTGTAATTTCTCAGAGGAAGCATTTCATTCCTCGACTATTTTTCATTGTTTATGCAGTCGTAAAATGATGGATTATTGACCCTGTTTTGGAATTAGATTTTGTGGTCTGTAATATAATTTGTACAGGGCAGTGGACGTTTTTTTTCTTTTTCCAAGGATGGGAGACAAAGGATTTTCAGCGCTTCGTCCGATCCTCTGCTTCGCTATCTTTATTGTCACGCTACAGCTCGTTAATGGAGACCTGAGTTATTCTATTCCAGAAGAAATGAAACGCGAGTCTGTTATCGCAAATATAGCCAAAGATCTCGGTCTTGATCTGAGGACCTTATCTGCACGAAAGGCCCGTGTTGATTTTGAGGGGACTCGTAAACGGTACTGTGACATTAATCTAAATACTGGAGATTTAATCACATCAGAGAGAATCGACAGAGAGAGCCTTTGTGGCAAGAAACCCTCATGTGTTGTGAAAGTAGATCTGGTGTTAGAAAACCCTTTGGAGCTCCATCGACTCAGTCTTCATATTCAAGATGTAAACGACAACTCGCCGCAATTCAACGAGAATCTGATTGAAATGGAAATAAGGGAGTCAGCTGAAAAGGGTAACCGCTTCTCTATTGAGGAGGCCCATGACGCAGATATAGGTCAAAATGCTGTTCAAAGATACAACCTACAAAAGAACGACAACTTTATTCTCGCTGTTGACAGCAACAAGGTTGAACTCGTACTGGAGAATAAACTTGATAGAGAAAAGCAAAAGGAGATTAATCTGCTCCTTACAGCTTTAGATGGTGGCTCTCCTCAGAGATCAGGTACTGTAGTCATACACGTCACTGTACTGGATGCTAATGATAACGCCCCAGTGTTTAGTCAGGCCGTTTATAAAGCCAATGTGCCTGAAAACTCTCCTCCAGATACCATAGTGATTAATGTTAGTGCTACTGACGCAGATGAAGGAGTGAATGGAGATGTGACATATCAATTTGGCCACGTATCTGATGACGATGTAAATGTTTTCTCTATTGATTCTAAAACGGGAGAAATCAGAGTAAGTGGTGTGATTGACTTTGAAGAAAGTAGTTCTTTTGAAATGAGAGTGAAAGCTAAAGATGGTTTAGGACTAACTTCTTACGCCAAAGTATTAATAGATATTACTGATGAGAATGATAATGCCCCAGTTATATATCTGAAATCACTGTCTAACCCCATACCTGAGAATGTGTCACCTGGTACAGAGGTGGGTATCATTAATGTACAGGATAGAGACTCTGAGACTAACGGACAGGTCCGCTGCTCCATTCAGCAAAACGTCCCTTTTAAGTTGGTTCCTTCTATTAAAAACTATTATTCTCTGGTGACCACAGGACAACTGGACCGTGAACTAGTGTCTGATTACAACATTACAATCACTGCCACTGACGAGGGCTCTCCACCTCTGTCCTCTTCTAAAACTGTTCAGTTATCTGTTGCAGACATCAACGACAACCCACCTGTGTTTGAGGAACAGTCCTACAGCGCATATGTGACTGAAAATAACAAACCTGGCTCCACTTTATGTTCCGTTACTGCTCGAGACCCCGACTGGAGACAAAACGGTACAGTGATTTATTCTCTGTTAGCTGGTGAGGTGAACGGTGCCCCGGTGTCCTCCTATCTGTCTGTTAACGGAGACACGGGGGTGATCCACGCTGTGAGGTCGTTTGATTATGAACAGTTCAGGAGTTTTAAAGTCTACGTGATGGCCAGAGACAACGGTTCTCCTCCGCTCAGCAGCAACGTGACCGTCAGTGTCTTTATATCTGATGTGAATGACAACTCTCCTCAGATACTGTACCCCTCCCCGGAGGGCAACTCGTTCATGACCGAGCTGGTCCCCAAAGCTGCACACGGAGGCTCTCTGGTGTCCAAAGTGATAGCGGTGGACGCGGACTCCGGACAGAACGCCTGGCTGTCCTATCATATAGTCAAATCCACTGATTCGGGACTTTTCACTATTGGTCTCCACAGCGGAGAGATCAGGACACAGCGGGACATTTCTGAATCAGACAGCATGAAACAGAACCTTATTGTCTCAGTGAAAGATAACGGACAGCCCTCTCTCTCTGCCACTTGCTCCATGTATTTACTTATTTCTGATAACTTGGCTGAGGTGCCAGAACTGAAGGATATTTCTTATGATGAGAAGAATTCCAAACTGACCTCTTATCTGATCATCGCGCTGGTTTCTGTGTCCACCTTTTTTCTGACCTTCATCATCATCATCCTGGGTGTGAGGTTTTGTCGCAGGAGAAAGCCCAGACTGTTGTTTGATGGAGCAGTTGCCATCCCCAGCGCTTATCTCCCTCCTAATTACGCTGATGTTGACGGCACAGGAACTTTACGCAGCGCTTACAATTATGACGCATATCTGACAACAGGATCTAGAACCAGTGACTTTAAGTTTGTGACATCTTACAATGACAACACACTGCCTGCTGACCAGACTCTGAGGAAGAGTCCAAGTGACTTCGCTGACCCGTTCGAAGATTTAGAGCCGGCTGTAGAGGTAGGAACCGTTCAAAGTATTATTGAATCCTGGTCAAAGTGCATTTTGTTTTGTTTATTTAATCCTTCGAATGTCTTCTGTGTTTGTGTCTTCGAAATTTGTGATTGTTGAAGTGAACTGTTTACAGAATGAAGAGACAATTCTGTTTTTATGGCGCAATGCTTTCTTTTCAAATTACATCAGCAAATTCTTACATATTTTTGCCATTTTTCCATCAAAACCATTGAACTCCCGACTTTGTGTCCATTCATTAAGAGGTTTTTGTTTTATTCATTTAAACACATATGTTTCAGTACTCTAATGTTTATTCTGCGTTTTTCCTTATTAAGAGACAGTTTGTATTTTAGTCCTTGATAAACTAGTCAGCCTTAATATTTATTTTAGTTTTTTCCTTTTAGAAAGTTTCCATTTGTGTATCATCTTAAGTGGGTCTAATCACTGTTTAGTAAATCCAAATTTTTCATGACCAAGGGGTTTCTTCAACCTAATCTTTGTCAGCAGAAATGGGCCTTGTAGGAAGTTTCAGAGTTAAAAGAACATTTTTACCAACAAAGTGTGGTTATGACTTCTTTCCAGAATCATATTGTTTTTAATCAAACATATTGTGTAGTTTCTTGGGAGTCTTACTTTCACGTTGTTCGTTGTAAATCTTTTTTCAGTCATCAGTATGTGTTAGTGATCATCACTTACCAGCAAGTGATGGGCATATATAGCTCCGATTTCTAAGTCTTCCTCGGGGTAAGTGGGTGACCGATTAGGTATCAGAATAAGTCAGTGTTTACTTTTGTGAAACTGTCTTCCAGATGTAGAGTCTAACAATACTGACCAATAGACCAACTCAGCATTCAGTATATTTGGGCCATCAGCCCTACCAAATGTTGTGGTATCTGTCCATGGTGCTGAAATATTCCTCATGCGCTCAGGCACAAGCGCAACTGGAGCTGTCTTTTCTCCTTATCTACATTTTATTAAAGATAACGATAATAATTGAATATGCATGTAAATAGAAACTTCGGATTATCGTTATTTACGTCATTGCCCAACTCATTAATTTGATATGGAGCTCTTAATTAAATTTTCACATTGCGACATCTTCCTATGTGTCATTTCACAATCACGGAGGATGCATTTGCCCCATGCACATTGACTGTGAGCTCAGCTGTACTGGGTTGAACAACATCTCCAAAGGTGAGCCGAATACACGGAATAGATCGCGTGTCTGTTTAAAAAAACATGAACATACAACAAATGCACAGTTCAATTGAAAGTGAGTGAATATTATCTTAATGTAGTTTTAGAATGGATAAAGAATATTGCATTACGTAAGAATGTGACGATAAAAACATGACTCATGGTGTCGCTGTTGGCTGACAGAAAATAGGCAGTCTCCACTCCACCCACTACTACTACATAGATATGAGCTGCAGATTTTCAAGAGAAACGGTTACATTTCCGACCATATTTGAGTTGGTACATTGCTGTGAAGTGTTGGATTATTGAGTGTTTTTGAACGCTTTTAGTTTTTGTCACTGGAAAGTACACGTTACAAGAGCTGAGGACGTCTTTTTTGTCAGGATGGGAGACAAAGGATTTTCAGCGCTTCGTCCGATCCTCTGCTTCGCTTCCTTTATTGTAACGCTGCAGATCGTTAATGGAGACCTGAGTTATTCTATTCCAGAAGAAATGAAACGCGAGTCTGTTATTGCAAATATAGCCAAAGATCTCGGTCTTGATCTGAGGACCTTATCTTCACGAAAGGCCCGTGTGGATTTTGAGGGGACTCGTAAACGGTACTGTGACATTAATCTGAATACTGGAGATTTAATCACATCGGAGAGAATCGACAGAGAAAGCCTTTGTGGCAAGAAACCCTCATGTGTTGTGAAAGTAGATCTGGTGTTAGAAAACCCTTTGGAGCTTCATCGACTCAGTCTTCATATTCAAGATGTAAACGACAACTCGCCGCAATTCAACGAGAATCTGATTGAAATGGAAATAAGGGAGTCAGCAGACAAGGGTAACCGCTTCTCTATTGAGGAGGCCCATGACGCAGATATAGGTCAAAATGCTGTTCAAAGATACAACCTACAAAAGAACGACAACTTTATTCTCGCTGTTGACAGCAACAAGGTTGAACTCGTACTGGAGAATAAACTTGATAGAGAAAAGCAAAAGGAGATAAATCTGCTCCTTACAGCATTAGATGGTGGCTCTCCTCAGAGATCAGGTACTGTAGTCATACACATCACTGTGCTGGATGCTAATGATAACGCCCCAGTGTTTAGTCAGGCCGTTTATAAAGCCAATGTGCCTGAAAACTCTCCTCCAGATACCATAGTGATTAATGTTAGTGCTACAGACGCAGATGAAGGAGTGAATGGAGATGTGACATATCAATTTGGCCATGTATCTGATGACAATGTAAATGTTTTCTCTATTGATTCTAAAACGGGAGAGATCAGAGTAAGTGGTGTGATTGACTTTGAAGAAAGTAGTTCTTTTGAAATGAGAGTGAAAGCTAAAGATGGTTTAGGACTAACTTCTTACGCCAAAGTATTAATAGATGTTACTGATGAGAATGATAATGCTCCAGTGATATATCTGAAATCACTGTCTAACCCCATACCTGAGAATGTATCACCTGGTACAGAGGTGGGCATCATTAACGTACAGGATAGAGACTCTGAGACTAACGGACAGGTCCGCTGCTCCATTCAGCAAAACGTCCCTTTTAAGTTGGTTCCTTCTATTAAAAACTATTATTCTCTAGTGACCACAGGACAACTGGACCGTGAACTAGTGTCTGATTACAACATTACAATCACTGCCACTGACGAGGGCTCTCCACCTCTGTCCTCTTCTAAAACTGTGCAGTTATCTGTAGCAGACATCAACGACAACCCACCTGTGTTTGAGGAACAGTCCTACAGCGCATATGTGACTGAAAATAACAAACCTGGCTCCACTTTATGTTCCGTTACTGCTCGAGACCCCGACTGGAGACAAAACGGTACAGTGATTTATTCTCTGTTAGCTGGTGAGGTGAACGGTGCCCCGGTGTCCTCCTATCTGTCTGTTAACGGAGACACGGGGGGTGATCCACGCTGTGAGGTCGTTTGATTATGAACAGTTCAGGAGTTTTAAAGTCCACGTGATGGCCAGAGACAACGGTTCTCCTCCGCTCAGCAGCAACGTGACCGTCAGTGTCTTTATATCTGATGTGAATGACAACTCTCCTCAGATACTGTACCCCGCCCCGGAGGGCAACTCGTTCATGACCGAGCTGGTCCCCAAAGCTGCACACGGAGGCTCTCTGGTGTCCAAAGTGATAGCGGTGGACGCGGACTCCGGACAGAACGCCTGGCTGTCCTATCATATAGTCAAATCCACTGATCCGGGACTTTTCACTATTGGTCTCCACAGCGGAGAGATCAGGACACAGCGGGACATTTCTGAATCAGACAGCATGAAACAGAACCTTATTGTGTCAGTGAAAGATAACGGACAGCCCTCTCTCTCTGCCACCTGTTCCATGTATTTACTTATTTCTGATAACTTGGCTGAGGTGCCAGAACTGAAGGATATTTCTTATGATGAGAAGAATTCCAAACTGACCTCTTATCTGATCATCGCGCTGGTTTCTGTGTCCACCTTTTTTCTGACCTTCATCATCATCATCCTGGGTGTGAGGTTTTGTCGCAGGAGAAAGCCCAGACTGTTGTTTGATGGAGCAGTTGCCATCCCCAGCGCTTATCTCCCTCCTAATTACGGTGATGTTGACGGGACAGGAACTTTACGCAGCGCTTACAATTATGACGCATATCTGACAACAGGATCTAGAACCAGTGACTTTAAGTTCGTGACATCTTACAATGACAACACACTGCCTGCTGACCAGACTCTGAGGAAAAGTCCAAGTGACTTCGCTGACCCGTTCGAAGATTTAGAGCCGGCTGTAGAGGTAGGAACCGTTCAAAGTATTATTGAATCCTGGTCAAAGTGCATTTTGTTTGTTTTTTTAATCCTTCGAATGTCTTCTGTGTTTGTGTCTTCGAAATTTGTGATTGTTGAAGTGAACTGTTTACAGAATGAAGAGACAATTCTGTTTTTATGGCGCAATGCTTTCTTTTCAAATTACATCAGCAAATTCTTACATATTTTTTGCCATTTTTCAATCAAAACCATTGAACTCCCGACTTTGTGTCCATTTATTAAGAGGTTTTTGTTTTATTCATTTAAACACATATGTTTCAATACTCTGATGTTTATTCTGTGTTTTTTTTCGTTATTAAGAGACAGTTTGTATTTTAGTCCTTGATAAACTAGTCAGCCTTAATATTTATTTTAGTTTTTTCCTTTTAGAAAGTTTCCATTCGTGTATCATCTTAAGTGGGTTTAATCACTGTTAAGTAAATCCAAATCTTTCATGACCAAGGTGTTTCTTCAACCTAATCTTTGACAGCAGAAAGCATGGCGCTCGTTGAAAGTTTCAGAGTTAAAAGAACATTTTTACCAGCAAAGTGTGGTTATGACTTCTTTCCAGAATCATATTGGTTTTAATCAAACATGTTGTGTAGTTTCTTGTGAGTCTTACTTTCACGTTGTTCGTTGTAAATCTTTTTTCAGTCATCAGTATGTGTCAGTGATCATCACTTACCAGCAAGTGATGGGCATATATAGCTCCGATTTCTAAATCTTCCTCGGGGTAAGTGGGTGACCGATTAGGTCTCAGAATAAGTCAGTGTTTACTTTTGTGAAACTGTCTTCCAGATGTAGAGTCTAACAATACTGACCAATAGACCAACTCAGCATTCAGTATATTTGGGCCATCAGCCCTACCAAATGTTGTGGTATCTGTCCATGGTGCTGAAATATTCCTCATACGCTCAGGCACAAGCGCAACTAGAGCTGTCTTTTCCCTTATCTACATTTTATTAAAGATAACGATAATAACTGAATATGCATGTAAATAGAAATTTCGGATTATCGTTATTTACGTCATTGCCCAACTCATTAATTTGATATGGAGCTCTTAATTAAATTTTCACATTGCGACAGCTTCCTATATGTCATTTCACAATCACGGAGGATGCATTTGCCCCATGCACATTGACTGTGAGCTCAGCTGTACTGGGTTGAACAACATCTCCAAAGGTGAGCCGAATACACGGAATAGATCGCGTGTCTGTTTAAAAAGACATGAACGATACAACAAATGCACAGTTCAATTGAAACTTAGTGAATATTATCTTAATGTAGTTTTAGAATGGATAAAGAATATTGCATTACGTAAGAATGTGACGATAAAAACATGACTCATGGTGTCGCTGTTGGCTGACAGAAAATAGGCAGTCTCCACTCCACCCACTACTACTACATAGATATGAGCTGCTGATTTCCAAGAGAAACGGTTACATTTCCGACCATATTTTAGTTGGTACATTGTTGTGAAGTGTTGGATTATTGAGTGTTTTTGAACGGTTTTAGTTTTTGTCACTGGAAAGTACACGTTACAAGAGCTGAGGACGTCTTTTTTGTCAGGATGGGAGACAAAGGATTTTCAGCGCTTCGTCCGATCCTCTGCTTCGCTATCTTTATTGTCACGCTACAGCTCGTTAATGGAGACCTGAGTTATTCTATTCCAGAAGAAATGAAACGCGAGTCTGTTATCGCAAATATAGCCAAAGATCTGGGTCTTGATCTGAGGACCTTATCTGCACGAAAGGCCCGTGTTGATTTTGAGGGGACTCGTAAACGGTACTGTGACATTAATCTAAATACTGGAAATTTAATCACATCGGAGAGAATCGACAGAGAGAGCCTTTGTGGCAAGAAACCCTCATGTGTTGTGAAAGTAGATCTGGTGTTAGAAAACCCTCTGGAGCTTCATCGACTCAGTCTTCATATTCAAGATGTAAACGACAACTCGCCGAAATTCAGACAAAGTGTGACTGAAATGGAAATATGGGAGTCGGCCGAAAAGGGTAACCGCTTCTCTATTGAGGAGGCCCATGACGCAGATATAGGTCAAAATGCTGTTCAAAGATACAACCTACAAAAGAACGACAACTTTATTCTCGCTGTTGACAGCAACAAGGTTGAACTCGTACTGGAGAATAAACTTGATAGAGAAAAGCAAAAGGAGATGAATCTGCTCCTTACAGCTTTAGATGGTGGCTCTCCTCAGAGATCAGGTACTGTAGTCATACACGTCACTGTACTGGATGCTAATGATAACGCCCCAGTGTTTAGTCAGGCCGTTTATAAAGCCAGTCTGCCTGAAAACTCTCCTCCAGATACCATAGTGATTAATGTTAGTGCTACAGACGCAGATGAAGGAGTGAATGGAGATGTGACATATGACTTTGGCCACGTATCTGATGACGATGTAAATGTTTTCTCTATTGATCCTAAAACGGGAGAGATCAGAGTAACTGGTGTGATTGACTTTGAAGAAAGTAGTTCTTTTGAAATAAGAGTGCAAGCTAAAGATGGTTTGGGACTAACTTCTTACGCCAAAGTATTCATACATGTTACTGATAAGAATGATAATGCTCCAGTGATATATTTAAAATCACTGTCTAACCCCATACCTGAGAATGTGTCACCTGGTACAGAGGTGGGCATTATTAATGTACAGGATAGAGACTCTGAGACTAACGGACAGGTCCGCTGCTCCATTCAACAAAACGTCCCTTTTAAGTTGGTTCCTTCTATTAAAAACTATTATTCTCTGGTGACCACAGGACAACTGGACCGTGAACTAGTGTCTGATTACAACATTACAATCACTGCCACTGACGAGGGCTCTCCACCTCTGTCCTCCTCTAAAACGGTTCAGTTATCTGTAGCAGACATCAACGACAACCCACCTGTGTTTGAGGAACAGTCCTACAGCGCATATGTGACTGAAAATAACAAACCTGGCTCCACTTTATGTTCCGTTACTGCTCGAGACCCCGACTGGAGACAAAACGGTACAGTGATTTATTCTCTGTTAGCTGGTGAGGTGAACGGTGCCCCGGTGTCCTCCTATCTGTCTGTTAACGGAGACACGGGGGTGATCCACGCTGTGAGGTCGTTTGATTATGAACAGTTCAGGAGTTTTAAAGTCCACGTGATGGCCAGAGACAATGGTTCTCCTCCGCTCAGCAGCAACGTGACCGTCAGTGTTTTTATATCTGATGTGAATGACAACTCTCCTCAGATACTGTACCCCGCCCCTGAGGGCAACTCGTTCATGACCGAGCTGGTCCCCAAAGCTGCACACGGAGGCTCTCTGGTGTCCAAAGTGATAGCGGTGGACGCGGACTCCGGACAGAACGCCTGGCTGTCCTATCATATAGTCAAATCCACTGATCCGGGACTTTTCACTATTGGTCTCCACAGCGGAGAGATCAGGACACAGCGGGACATTTCTGAATCAGACAGCATGAAACAGAACCTTATTGTGTCAGTGAAAGATAACGGACAGCCCTCTCTCTCTGCCACCTGTTCCATGTATTTACTTATTTCTGATAACTTGGCTGAGGTGCCAGAACTGAAGGATATTTCTTATGATGAGAAGAATTCCAAACTGACCTCTTATCTGATCATCGCACTGGTTTCTGTGTCCACATTTTTTCTGACCTTCATCATCATCATCCTGGGTGTGAGGTTTTGTCGCAGGAGAAAGCCCAGACTGTTGTTTGATGGAGCAGTTGCCATCCCCAGCGCTTATCTCCCTCCTAATTACGCAGATGTTGACGGAACAGGAACTTTACGCAGCGCTTACAATTATGACGCATATCTGACAACAGGATCTAGAACCAGTGACTTTAAGTTCGTGACATCTTACAATGACAACACACTGCCTGCTGACCAGACTCTGAGGAAAAGTCCAAGTGACTTTGCTGACCCGTTCGAAGATTTAGAGTCGGCTGTAGAGGTAGGAACTGTTCAAAACACTTCATAGGCCAGTGTGTATTTTGGTTTATTTATTGAATCCTTCTAATGTCTAACTGATTAAGTGTTTATTTCTCCGAAATATAAAAGCGATTGTGTGTTTTTGCTAGTGAATTGTTCGCCTAATGCATGGAAACATTCCTGTTTTGGTCATTAAGTTGGAAAATTAAGTTAGCAAATGATTACATATGATATGCCTGTTGTCTTGCAACATCGTGGGGCTCCTTATCTGTGTTCATTTGTTTTTTAATTTTTACTTTTCACGTTCTTTTTTTATGAAGATAAACCCTGCATTTGATTCATTGACAAAATTATTATTTTTTATATGTAATTAAGTTCGTTGTTTTTATGAAGTGGTTAATTGTCGATTATCTTAAATGGGAGGAACTAATTCGCTATTAAGTAAAACAAAATCATACGCGACCAAGGAGTTGCTTCATCTTTATCTTTTCGAAGAGATAACTTTTGGCTCATGGGAATATATAGCTTCAAGAACATTTTCCACCGCAAAGTGTTGCTATGAGTGAAGCTGTCGCCGGAACTATTATTTGTTTTAATCCAACGTGTTGTGAAGGCTCTCGTTACTACTACATTGTCTGTTGTAAAAAAAAATGTCCTGTCATCAGCATGTGTCACTGATCACCATTTATAAACAAGTGATGGAAACATTTCCGATTTCGGAGTCAGCCTCGAGATAGCTGGGTAACAGTTTATGTCTAAGAATAAATCAGTGTTTATTGATAATAGTTAGGGACAGTTTCACAAAAGTACAGTCTGTGGACAGTGAGGAAGGACAGTTTCACAAAAGTACAGTCTGTGGACAGTGAGGAAGACATCAACACACCATTCAATAGGTCTGTGCCATCAGCCCTGCCAGAGCTCATGGTATCTGTCCATGGTGCTGAAATACTCCTCTGGCGCTCGGGTACAACCGCAACTGGAGACATGTTTTATCTCCTCAGCCTTACTGTTTTGATTTTGCTAGAACAAATGCTAATAACAATATAATTAATTAGTTAATATTGTTGTATTTTACCTTATTTCTCCAGCTCACTGTTTGACTATGGAGTGCCAAACCAAAGTTGTATATTGCCGTGTGTTAAGTTATATTGAAATCATAGTGTCAGTGAACTTTATGGTGAATGATTCGATGACATTATCTCTTATTTAAACCGTAGTATTTGTTCATCTATAGCCTGCTTCTTTTATGTGGCAATTGTTTGAAAGTTAATTTAAAATTCACTTTTTCGAAGTGAAATACAACTGAGTCCATTTGAGTTCAGCTGTACTGGGTAAACAACATGCCCACAACTGGTCCAGTTACCGTGAATAAATCGGGTGTTTGTTTTAAGAAAAGGAACGATTCACCACACATGTACGGTCCAAGTGAACGGCGAGAAAATGTAATCTCAATCTGTGTTGAGTCTTTGTGAAGAATATTTGACTACATACTACTGTGAAGATAAAAACATGACTCATGGTGTCGCTGTTGGTTAACAGAAAAAAGGCACTCACCACTCCACCCACTACTACTACATAGATATGAGCTGCAGATTTTCCAGAGAAACGGTTACATTTCCGACCATATTTGATCGTGTACATTGCTGTGAGGGTTGGATTATTGAGTGTTTTTGAACGGTTTTAGTTTTTGTCACTGGAAAGTACACGTTACAATATATGAGGACGTCGTTTATTGTCAGGATGGGAGACAAAGGATTTTCAGCGCTTCGTCCGATCCTCTGCTTCGCTTCCTTTATTGTAACGCTGCAGCTCGTTAATGGAGACCTGAGTTATTCTATTCCAGAAGAAATGAAACGCGAGTCTGTTATCGGAAATATAGCCAAAGATCTCGGTCTTGATCTGAGGACCTTATCTTCACGAAAGGCCCGTGTTGATTTTGAGGGGACTCGTAAACGGTACTGTGACATTAATCTGAATACTGGAGATTTAATCACATCGGAGAGAATCGACAGAGAAAGCCTTTGTGGCAAGAAACCATCCTGTGTTGTGAAAGTAGATCTGGTGTTAGAAAATCCTCTGGAGCTTCATCGACTAAGTCTTCATATTCAAGATGTAAACGACAACTCGCCGAAATTCAGGGAAAATTTGACTGAAATGGAAATAAGGGAGTCAGCAGTCAAGGGTAACCGCTTCTCTATTGAGGAGGCCCATGACGCAGATATAGGTCAAAATGCTGTTCAAAGATACAACCTACAAAAGAACGACAACTTTATTCTTGCCGTTGACAGCAACAAGGTTGAACTCGTACTGGAAAATAAACTTGATAGAGAAAAGCAAAAGGAGATAAATCTGCTCCTTACAGCTTTAGATGGTGGCTCTCCTCAGAGATCAGGTACTGTAGTCATACACGTCACTGTGCTGGATGCTAATGATAACGCCCCAGTGTTTAGTCAGGCCGTTTATAAAGCCAATGTGCCTGAAAACTCTCCTCCAGATACCATAGTGATTAATGTTAGTGCTACAGACGCAGATGAAGGAGTGAATGGAGATGTTACATATCAATTTGGTCACGTATCTGATGACGATATAAATGTTTTCTCTATTGATCCTAAAACGGGAGAGATCAGAGTAAGTGGTGTGATTGACTTTGAAGAAAGTAGTTCTTTTGAAATAAGAGTGCAAGCTAAAGATGGTTTAGGACTAACTTCATATGCCAAAGTATTAATAGATGTTACTGATAAGAATGATAATGCTCCAGTTATATATCTGAAATCACTGTCTAACCCCATACCTGAGAATGTGTCACCTGGTACAGAGGTGGGTATCATTAATGTACAGGATAGAGACTCTGAGAATAACGGACAGGTCCGCTGCTCCATTCAACAAAACGTCCCTTTTAAGTTGGTTCCTTCTATTAAAAACTATTATTCTCTTGTGACCACAGGACAACTGGACCGTGAACTAGTGTCTGATTACAACATTACAATCACTGCCACTGACGAGGGCTCTCCACCTCTGTCCTCCTCTAAAACTGTTCAGTTATCTGTAGCAGACATCAACGACAACCCACCTGTGTTTGAGGAACAGTCCTACAGCGCATATGTGACTGAAAATAACAAACCTGGCTCCACTTTATGTTCCGTTACTGCTCGAGACCCCGACTGGAGACAAAACGGTACAGTGATTTATTCTCTGTTAGCTGGTGAGGTGAACGGTGCACCGGTGTCCTCCTATCTGTCTGTTAACGGAGACACGGGGGTGATCCACGCTGTGAGGTCGTTTGATTATGAACAGTTCAGGAGTTTTAAAGTCTACGTGATGGCCAGAGACAACGGTTCTCCTCCGCTCAGCAGCAACGTGACCGTCAGTGTCTTTATATCTGATGTGAATGACAACTCTCCTCAGATACTGTACCCCGCCCCGGAGGGTAACTCCTTCATGACCGAGCTGGTCCCCAAAGCTGCACACGGAGGCTCTCTGGTGTCCAAAGTGATAGCGGTGGACGCGGACTCCGGACAGAACGCCTGGCTGTCCTATCATATAGTCAAATCCACTGATACGGGACTTTTCACTATTGGTCTCCACAGCGGAGAGATCAGGACACAGCGGGACATTTCTGAATCAGACAGCATGAAACAGAACCTTATTGTGTCAGTGAAAGATAACGGACAGCCCTCTCTCTCTGCCACCTGTTCCATGTATTTACTTATTTCTGATAACTTGGCTGAGGTGCCAGAACTGAAGGATATTTCTTATGATGAGAAGAATTCCAAACTGACCTCTTATCTGATCATTGCGCTGGTGTCTGTGTCCACCTTTTTTCTGACTTTTATCATCATCATCCTGGGTGTGAGGTTTTGTCGCAGGAGAAAGCCCAGACTGTTGTTTGATGGAGCAGTTGCCATCCCCAGCGCTTATCTTCCTCCTAATTACGCAGATGTTGACGGCACAGGAACTTTACGCAGCGCTTACAATTATGACGCATATCTGACAACAGGATCTAGAACCAGTGACTTTAAGTTTGTAACATCTTACAATGACAACACACTGCCTGCTGACCAGACTCTGAGGAAAAGTCCAAGTGACTTTGCTGATGTGTTTGGTGAATCAGATGGATCTCCAGAGGTAGGAATATTTTATCTAATCAAGATTAATTTAAAAAATATTTGTTCTCTCTTGTGTGACAGCACTGCATACCATAAATCAATATTTCTTGTGCTCACAAATACAAGGAATTTGTTTTGGATATTCATTTTAGATTCAGGCATTGTTTTTATTTGGTTGTCTTGGGTTATAGTTAGAAAGAAGTAGGTTGTTGCTTTTGAAAGCACCTTTCAAAACAATCCCTTAAATCTCTCCACATAAAACACCCATATAAGTTATCAGCATTGTTCACATTGAGACTTAATGTAATCAAGCATGACACCCAGTGCTCTATTAGCTGGTTAGTCAGTGTATTGTGAAGGGAAATTAGAGATAGGTTTCAAGCATTTAGTTCCTGTTATACTGGAGTCAGTGTATTGGAAGAGGCAAGCACATGTCTCATAATTTCATTTTCTCTTTTCAAAAAACATTCCAAATTATAACAAACTATTTACTAACAAACAAACATCCATGGTCTCACCTAGACAATTGAGGTGGCCCTGGACAGGTTTAGTGCTTGTATTATAAACTCTTTTTGGGGTGCACAGATTAATTTGGTTTTCAACAGAGTCAGTCAACCTGAAGGGAACGAGAAAGCGGAAAAGACCACTTCACCTTAACTACTTGGTGATTAACCAAAATATAACTTTAAAATTTAATAGCATGAACTAAGTCCGTAAAAGCATGTCCACAGCAAATGAATGAGAGATGCATGCATTGCTATGTACGAAGGAAGTTGTCACAAAAAAAGCAGAAGCATAAACCCTACATATGCAGAGAGAAAGAGAGTCTGATTCTACTGGTTTAAATAGTTGATGAGATAGCCAGCCAGCACAGATACCAAAAAGGCCAATCTCTTTACTCATGTGTTCTCCCTAGAGGAGAAGATACTCCTCAGGTCTCCCAATAGTAATCACTAGATATCACAACACACAATGACATGTTTTAGGAGCTGATCCTTTATCCAGTTTTCAGTTGTACCCCTTTTTAAATTGTTTTAAAGTAGAACCTCAGAGACTCCTTGTGCCATTAAAACCTGTTTCTTCCTCCTCTGTGTAAACATGCCCTTGCCCTGGATGTACGCAGATGAGGCCCTTATATGCAGCACAGTAGTGCTTTCAAGACTGATTTCATACAATGGCTCTTTATTATTAGGATATTAATTAATAAGAATTCATGGTTATTTATTTCCTTCCCATGCAAATGTTATTCATGCACAACTTTGGAAGTGGACCCTCTATGAGCATGGAAGCTCCCTAAACATATTCCATAGCAGCACACTTAATTATGTTTACTTTTTCCATTTTAGCTCTTTGGTAAATATGCATACTGTCTAAGGATGTTCATGTCTGTCATTTTATAATATTGGCTTTTTATGATGTTTCTAATTCAAGCATTCAGTGTGGAACTTTATCATTTTACACTTTTTATTGCACTCTAAGATTACTGCCTCTGTTCATCCCTCCAATACTTTTGGCCATTCACTTTCTCAGTTGTAGCCTCACATATCCAATTCTTACTGGACTGGAATAATAATCTTATACAAGAGATAAGATGGTTTGGGGCACCCTGATGGCTGCTGATTTACAGGTCAGCCAACAATTGTCTGTTTTGTTGCCACATCAACTGACAAACTACCAGGGCATTTAAATATGTCTTTTTGTTAAACTAATTTCTTATGATATTTTTAATACAAGTGATGTCTACATTTTCTGTAGTAGAACTCTCTAATAAATATTCATTGACTTAAATATTGATTACTTGTTCTATTCTGCGCGTGGATGGTGCCAAATTAAACGAACAAGAAAACAGCTACAGTGTAAACATTTAGTGTTGATCTTCCAAGTGCAGAGATAGAATTGTACTCATAGTGTCGCTGTTCACCAGCAGAGGAAACATACCTCCACCCCTTGCTCATGCTTTGTTACTCTATATGCTTTATCTTCTCCTGGTCAGATTTCAGACTTGGATGTGCTTTGGTCAGCCGTTCGCTTCAAATACACAGTTTGCAAGAAGAACTGATGTTTGATTATGTTACACTGGAGCGCACAGATTTTCACACGGGAATAATCATCATTCCACGTTTTTGAGTTATTTTCCATTCTTGTCTCAGGATGGCACACAATGGATATTCGGCGGCAGGCCTGCTTTACAGCTGTGCGTTCTTTCTTCAGCTGCTTTACATTTGTAACGGAGACGTGAGCTTTTCTATCCCAGAGGAAATGAAACCCGGATCTGTCATCGGAAATTTAGCAAAGAACCTCGCGCTCAACGTGGGGAAATTATCTGCTCGAAAGGCCCGCATTGATAGCGAGCTGAACCGTGAACGGTACTGTGACATAAACCTTAATACTGGGGATTTGATTGTAGCTCAAAGAATTGACAGAGAGGCGCTTTGCGGAGAAAAGGCATCTTGTATTCTTAAATTTGAGTTAATCTTAGAGGCACCTCTGGAGTTGCACCGCATTTCACTGCAAATAGATGATATAAACGACAATCCGCCTGTTTTTACTAAGGATGAAATAAAGATAGAAATCAATGAATTGGCTGTAAAAGGATCTCGCTTCCGTGTTTTGGAGGCACACGATATAGATATCGGGCAAAACGCTGTTCAAAGCTATGCATTACAGACGAACAATTATTTAGTGTTAAAAATTCAGTCCAAATCGGATGGGGGTAAATATGCAGAGCTAATGTTGAATAGGGAATTAGACCGCGAAGAACAGCAGGAATTGAGATTATTGCTCACTGCACTAGACGGAGGCAATCCGCAAAGAACTGGCACTGCAACTGTGCATGTGACGGTCCTGGATGCCAATGATAACGCCCCAGTGTTCAGCCAGACCGTCTATGAGGCCATTCTGCCTGAAAACTCCCCTATAGATACTCTAGTGGTTAAAGTGGCTGCAACTGATGCAGATGAAGGTCTAAATGGTGAGGTGACTTATGAATTAAGTCGTATTTCAGAAACAGGTAAAAGAGTATTTGCTTTAAATCACACCACGGGAGAAATTAAAGTAGTAGGGCCTTTGGACTTCGAGAAAGAGTCAATGTATGAAATGCGCGTAGATGCCAAAGATGGATACGGCCTCACCTCAGATTCTAAAGTGATAATTGAAATCTCCGATGTTAATGACAACCCACCTGAAATCAGTTTAAAATCACTGTCTAACCCCATACCTGAAAACGTCTCACCTGGTACAGAGGTGGGCATCATTAACGTACAGGATAGAGACTCTGAGACTAACAAACAGGTCCGCTGCTCCATTCAGCAAAACGTCCCTTTTAAGTTGGTTCCTTCTATTAAAAACTATTATTCTCTGGTGACCACAGGACAACTGGACCGTGAACTAGTGTCTGATTACAACATTACAATCACTGCCACTGACGAGGGCTCTCCACCTCTGTCCTCCTCTAAAACTGTTCAGTTATCTGTAGCAGACATCAACGACAACCCACCTGTGTTTGAGGAACAGTCCTACAGCGCATATGTGACTGAAAATAACAAACCTGGCTCCACTTTATGTTCCGTTACTGCTCGAGACCCCGACTGGAGACAAAACGGTACAGTGATTTATTCTCTGTTAGCTGGTGAGGTGAACGGTGCCCCGGTGTCCTCCTATCTGTCTGTTAACGGAGACACGGGGGTGATCCACGCTGTGAGGTCGTTTGATTATGAACAGTTCAGGAGTTTTCAAGTCCACCTGATGGCCAGAGACAATGGTTCTCCTCCGCTCAGCAGCAACGTGACCGTCAGTGTCTTTATATCTGATGTGAATGACAACTCTCCTCAGATACTGTACCCCGCCCCGGAGGGCAACTCGTTCATGACCGAGCTGGTACCCAAAGCTGCACACGGAGGCTCTCTGGTGTCCAAAGTGATAGCGGTGGACGCGGACTCCGGACAGAACGCCTGGCTGTCCTATCATATAGTCAAATCCACTGATCCGGGACTTTTCACTATTGGTCTCCACAGCGGAGAGATTAGGACACAGCGGGACATTTCTGAATCAGACAGCATGAAACAGAACCTTATTGTGTCAGTGAAAGATAACGGACAGCCCTCTCTCTCTGCCACCTGCTCCATGTATTTACTCATTTCTGATAACTTGGCTGAGGTGCCAGAACTGAAGGATATTTCTTATGATGAGAAGAATTCCAAACTGACCTCTTTTCTGATCATCGCGCTGGTTTCTGTGTCCACCTTTTTTCTGACCTTCATCATCATCATCCTGGGTGTGAGGTTTTGTCGCAGGAGAAAGCCCAGACTGTTGTTTGATGGAGCAGTTGCCATCCCCAGCGCTTATCTCCCTCCTAATTACGCAGATGTTGACGGCACAGGAACTTTACGCAGCGCTTACAATTATGACGCATATCTGACAACAGGATCTAGAACCAGTGACTTTAAGTTCGTAACATCTTACAATGACAACACACTGCCTGCTGACCAGACTCTGAGGAAAAGTCCAAGTGACTTTGCTGATGTGTTTTCTCATCCAGATGAATCTCCAGAGGTAGGCCACTGAAACAAATAAGTATTATACTTGATATCCGTGACCGCTATCTGTCATTTGCTTTTAAAATTTGCTTTCGAAAATGTCATTATTTCTTCCTGTAAATGTCAAAGTATAAAATATCATTAATCGCATTTTGAATTTAATAACAAGTTTTCTAAACTTGTGCTTAAGCAACAAGCAAAATGTTGAGCAAGGCATTTTAATGTGTTTAAGTGACTTTTGTATGATGTTGATTGTGTTTTTAGATTTTCTTAATTAATGAAAAATTTAACAGTTGGTTCAATAAATATTCAGATTACTGAGCGTATTGATGTTGCCTTCTGACATTGGTTAACTACCACATATACCTATTGGATTTCATAATTCCTTCTCTTTGTTTTTAAAGACTTTAAGAACGGTAATTTAAATGAGAGACAATTTTGGGTCTGCTCCTCGCCGCTCAGGCGCTGTCCAAGGTGCTGGATTGTGTTTTCTATATGTTGAACCAAACCCCAAATATCCCAGTAAAAGCAATTCAGTTTGTTTGTTAATATTGAAGTATGGCGCTGCATTGTTGATCATGGCAGCAATTTAGGCATTTTATCCATGAAGCGGTTTATTTGTAATATTCCAAACAAACTCACGGCGTCGCTGCTCACTTACGGATATTAGGATGTTCAGTTCTCCACCCACTGCAAAGGGAGTCATTCTAGCATTAAAACCAGGACTGCCATTGTTGCAGGAGCGGTGTACCTTAATTTCGCCATTGCGTTTTAATTCTACCAGCAACAAGGAACATTTGCGTTTCCCTATCTTCTTTCTGGAAAAACGATGTATTACAACGGAAAATCGTTGCTGAGTTTTGTCTTTGGTTGTCTTTTCTTCATCCATATCGCCAATGCAGACATCAGCTATAATATTCCGGAGGAGATGAGACCGGGATCCATTGTTGGAAATATAGCCAAGGACCTCGGCCTGGAAGTAGGGAAATTGTTTACCCGTAAGGCTCGTATTGATACAGAGGAAAGCTATCAGCACTACTGTGATATTGATTCAAAAACCGGAAATGTTGTGATCAGGGAAAGGATCGACAGAGAAGAGTTTTGTGGGGATAAGGTGTCGTGTATGCTTAAATTTGAGTTAGTCTTAGAGAGCCCTTTGGAGCTGCATCGTATTTCTCTGGCCATCCAGGATGTAAACGACAATTCGCCTGTTTTTCCAAAGGATACAATTAAACTGGAAATAAGAGAATCGGCAGACAAAGGAGCTAGATATCGTGTTAACGAAGCACATGACGCTGACATCGGACCAAATACGGTTAAACAATACAGTTTGCAAAATAATGAACACTTTGTTTTATCTGTTCGAGACGATTCTGATGGATCTAAAAACGTCGAATTGGTGTTAGACAAAGAGCTAGACCGTGAAAAAGAACACGATTTAGATTTCGTGCTGACTGCTGTTGATGGTGGTAATCCACAAAGATCAGGAACTGCCAATATACACGTGACTGTGCTGGACGCTAATGATAACGCCCCAGTGTTTGACCAAGCAGTTTACAAAGCCAGTCTACCTGAAAACTCTGCCCTTGATACTGTAGTGGTCACAGTAAGTGCCACTGATGCCGACGAGGGAGTTAATGGAGAGGTGACATATGATTTTAGCCGCATTTCAGAGAGGGCTAAAAAGGTTTTCTCACTGAACAGTAAAACTGGTGAGATAAAGGTCATTGGACCACTTGATTTCGAGACTAATTCTAAATATGAAATGCGCATTGATGCCAAAGATGGTTACGGACTTTCATCTGATTCCAAAATAATGATTGATATCACTGATGTGAACGACAATGCTCCAGTTATATATCTGAAATCACTGTCTAACCCTATACCTGAGAATGTATCACCTGGTACAGAGGTGGGCATCATTAATGTACAGGATAGAGACTCTGAGACTAACGGACAGGTCCGCTGCTCCATTCAGCAAAACGTCCCTTTTAAGTTGGTTCCTTCTATTAAAAACTATTATTCTCTGGTGACCACAGGACAACTGGACCGTGAACTAGTGTCTGATTACAACATTACAATCACTGCCACTGACGAGGGCTCTCCACCTCTGTCCTCCTCTAAAACTGTTCAGTTATCTGTAGCAGACATCAACGACAACCCACCTGTGTTTGAGGAACAGTCCTACAGCGCATATGTGACTGAAAATAACAAACCTGGCTCCACTTTATGTTCCGTTACTGCTCGAGACCCCGACTGGAGACAAAACGGTACAGTGATTTATTCTCTGTTAGCTGGTGAGGTGAACGGTGCCCCGGTGTCCTCCTATCTGTCTGTTAACGGAGACACGGGGGTGATCCACGCTGTGAGGTCGTTTGATTATGAACAGTTCAGGAGTTTTAAAGTCCACCTGATGGCCAGAGACAACGGTTCTCCTCCGCTCAGCAGCAACGTGACCGTCAGTGTCTTTATATCTGATGTGAATGACAACTCTCCTCAGATACTGTACCCCGCCCCGGAGGGCAACTCGTTCATGACCGAGCTGGTCCCCAAAGCTGCACACGGAGGCTCTCTGGTGTCCAAAGTGATAGCGGTGGACGCGGACTCCGGACAGAACGCCTGGCTGTCCTATCATATAGTCAAATCCACTGATCCGGGACTTTTCACTATTGGTCTCCACAGCGGAGAGATCAGGACACAGCGGGACATTTCTGAATCAGACAGCATGAAACAGAACCTTATTGTGTCAGTGAAAGATAACGGACAGCCCTCTCTCTCTGCCACCTGCTCCATGTATTTACTTATTTCTGATAACTTGGCTGAGGTGCCAGAACTGAAGGATATTTCTTATGATGAGAAGAATTCCAAACTGACCTCTTATCTGATCATCGCGCTGGTTTCTGTGTCCACCTTTTTTCTGACCTTCATCATCATCATCCTGGGTGTGAGGTTTTGTCGCAGGAGAAAGCCCAGACTGTTGTTTGATGGAGCAGTTGCCATCCCCAGCGCTTATCTTCCTCCTAATTACGCAGATGTTGACGGCACAGGAACTTTACGCAGCGCTTACAATTATGACGCATACCTGACAACAGGATCTAGAACCAGTGACTTTAAGTTCGTAACATCTTACAATGACAACACACTGCCTGCTGACCAGACTCTGAGGAAAAGTCCTAGTGACTTTGCTGAAGCATTTGGTCAACCAGATGAATCACCAGAGGTAGGCCGCAATGTTTTCTTGCTCAGTTGAATTTTATAATCATAATGATGACAATATTCATTATTGTTTTTCGGAATTTTAAATGTCTTTTGCCAGTTGAAGTTGAAATCAGACTTGCGGGGTTGTGCATTACAAAAACGATCCCAGACGGAACTGGTGATTATGCAGAACCATGGTACACTTCTGAAAGTGCTGGCGTAGGTGGACTCTCCGAGGTCCAAGGTTTGTGTGAATCTAAAATGCTGACTTTTAATTCAAGGCTGATTGAGATTTTACAGTAGTATTGACACTCCATATTCATGGCGTGAAAAGCATGACCGATGTGTCACTATATTTTTTTATTTTATACATATCTTCTGTGATATAGTAGATCTGATTTCAGGTATTCTTAACTGTGACACTTTTCGTCAAATGCTCAGTTGTGACATATCACAGTGTCTGGACTACATGCTTTTGAAACGGAGGGGAAACCCCGCCCAGTAAGCATGCATTTAACTCGTTTCCAGTGGAAGAGATTCCTGTGCATTTATGCTGAAGTCTTTACAGATATCAAATAAATGCATTTCAGTGAGTAATTAGGACTTACTACACACTGATATGTAGAAGTTTACATGCTCTTAAAACAACGGCTACTTGTAACCTCGGTATGTAAAAGCATTTACTCCCAACCAAATTTAGCCCGGTTTTTACCGAGGCGAAGCGACGTGGTTACACCTACACTGAAACAAATCAATATTGTAGTGGATATCCGTGACCGCTATCTGTCATTTGCTTTTTGAATTTGCTTTTGAAAATGGCATTATTCCTACTTTTTATCTGTCGAAGTTTAAAATATCATAATCACATTTTGAATTTAATAACAAGTTTTCTAAATGTGTGCTTAAGCTACAAGCAAAATGTCGAGAAAGGCATTTTAATGTGTTCAAGTGACTGTTGTACATACGATGTTGATTGTGTTTTAGATGTTCTTAATTAATGAAAAATTGAACAGTTGGTTCAATAAATATTCAGATTACTGAGCGTATTGATGTTGCTCTCTGACATTGCTTAACTACCACATATGCCTATTGGATTTCATAGTTACTACTCTTTGTTTTTAAAGACTTTAAGAATGGTAATTTAAATGAGAGAAATATTTGGGTCTGCTCCTCGCCGTTCAGGCGCTGTCCAAGGTGCTGGATTGTGTTTTCTATATATGCGCCTGTTGAACCAAACCCCAAATATCCCAGTAAAAGCATTTCAGTTTGCATCTTAACATTGAAATATAGCGCTGCATTGTTGATCATGGCAGCAATTTATGCATTTTATCCATGAAGCAGTTATTGGTAATATTCCAAACAAACTCACGGCGTCGCTGCTCACTTACGGATATTAGGATGTTCAGTTCTCCACCCACTGCAAAGGGAGTCATTCTAGCATTAAAACCAGGACTGCCATTGTTGCAGGAGCGGTGTACCTTAATTTCGCCATTGCGTTTTAATTGTACCAGCAACAAGGAACATTTGCGTCTCCCTATCTTCTTTCTGGAAAAACGATGTATTACAACGGAAAATCGTTGCTGAGTTTTGTCTTTGGTTTTCTTTTCTTCGTCCATATCGCCAATGCAGACATCAGCTATTCTATTCCGGAGGAGATGAGACCGGGATCCATTGTTGGAAATATAGCCAAGGACCTCGGCCTGGAAGTAGGGAAACTGTTCACCCGTAAGGCTCGTATTGATACAGAGGAAAGCTATCAGCACTACTGTGATATTGATCTAAAATCAGGAAATTTTGTGATCAGGGAACGAATCGACAGAGAAGAGTTTTGTGGGGAGAAGATGTCGTGTATGATTAAATTTGAGTTAGTCCTAGAGAGCCCTTTGGAGCTGCATCGTATTTCTCTGGCCATCCAGGATGTAAACGACAATTCGCCTGTTTTTCCAAAGGATACAATAAAACTGGAAATAAGCGAATCGGCCATCAAAGGAGCTAGATATCGTGTTAACGAAGCACATGACGCTGACATCGGACCAAATACGGTTAAACAATACAGTTTGCAAAATAATGAACACTTTGTTTTATCTGTTCGAGACGATTCTGATGGATCTAAAAACGTCGAATTGGTGTTAGACAAAGAGCTAGACCGTGAAAAAGAACATGATTTAAATTTCGTGCTGAATGCTGTTGATGGTGGTAATCCACAAAGATCAGGAACTGCCAATATACACGTGACTGTGCTGGACGCTAATGATAACGCCCCAGTGTTTGACCAAGCAGTTTACAAAGCCAGTCTACCTGAAAACTCTGCCCTTGATACTGTAGTCGTCACAGTAAGTGCCACTGATGCCGACGAGGGAGTTAATGGAAAGGTGACATATGATTTTAGCCGCATTTCAGAGAGGGCTAAAAAGGTTTTCTCACTGAACAGTAAAACTGGTGAGATAAAGGTCATTGGACCACTTGATTTCGAGACTAATTCTAAATATGAAATGCGCATTGATGCCAAAGATGGTTACGGACTTTCATCTGATTCCAAAGTAATGATTGATATCACTGATGTGAACGACAATGCTCCAGTTATATATCTTAAATCACTGTCTAACCCCATACCTGAGAATGTATCACCTGGTACAGAGGTGGGCATCATTAACGTACAGGATAGAGACTCTGAGAATAACAGACAGGTCCGCTGCTCCATTCAGCAAAACGTCCCTTTTAAGTTGGTTCCTTCTATTAAAAACTATTATTCTCTGGTGACCACAGGACAACTGGACCGTGAACTAGTGTCTGATTACAACATTACAATCACTGCCACTGACGAGGGCTCTCCACCTCTGTCCTCCTCTAAAACGGTTCAGTTATCTGTAGCAGATATCAACGACAACCCACCTGTGTTTGAGGAACAGTCCTACAGCGCATATGTGACTGAGAATAACAACCCTGGCTCCACTTTATGTTCCGTTATTGCTCGAGACCCCGACTGGAGACAAAACGGTACAGTGATTTATTCTCTGTTAGCTGGTGAGGTGAACGGTGCCGCGGTGTCCTCCTATCTGTCTGTTAACGGAGATACGGGGGTGATCCACGCTGTGAGGTCGTTTGATTATGAACAGTTCAGGAGTTTTAAAGTCCACGTGATGGCCAGAGACAACGGTTCTCCTCCACTCAGCAGCAACGTGACCGTCAGTGTCTTTATATCTGATGTGAATGACAACTCTCCTCAGATACTGTACCCCGCCCCTGAGGGCAACTCCTTCATGACCGAGCTGGTCCCCAAAGCTGCACACGGAGGCTCTCTGGTGTCCAAAGTGATAGCGGTGGACGCGGACTCCGGACAGAACGCCTGGCTGTCCTATCATATAGTCAAATCCACTGATCCGGGACTTTTCACTATTGGTCTCCACAGCGGAGAGATCAGGACACAGCGGGACATTTCTGAATCAGACAGCATGAAACAGAACCTTATTGTGTCAGTGAAAGATAACGGACAGCCCTCTCTCTCTGCCACCTGTTCCATGTATTTACTTATTTCTGATAACTTGGCTGAGGTGCCAGAACTGAAGGATATTTCTTATGATGAGAAGAATTCCAAACTGACCTCTTATCTGATCATCGCGCTGGTGTCTGTGTCCACCTTTTTTCTGACCTTCATCATCATCATCCTGGGTGTGAGGTTTTGTCGCAGGAGAAAGCCCAGACTGTTGTTTGATGGAGCAATTGCCATCCCCAGCGCTTATCTCCCTCCTAATTACGCTGATG